ATTTAAAAAAAAAAAAGAAATAGAATATCAGTATCAGATTTTACATTTTTTGAACCAAATATTACAGTGTGGTTGCATGAACTTATGTTCTGTGGAACATGAAATTTTATTAAAATATATGTAACCTGGAGCCTTGAAATATGTCACTTCTGACCACAGGATCAAATACTACTACTATTAGTACTGTACATTTTTCTTTCAAGGACTCCAAAAAAATTTATGGATTTAACTTAACCTTGTTGGATAGACGTTTAGAATCTTAGCAAATATGCTTTAACAAATCCATAAGCCTGAAAAACAATCAGACTTTACCCAAGATGCAATCTGTGGAATTTGATAAGCTACAATTTATTGGTGCAAGCCTGGAGAACAGGAAGAAATGATCACTAAATCTAGGCAACACACGCATCTGAGCACCGTCTCCATGGAGTGTTGTTCCATGTATGTATGGACAATGGAGCTCAGACCCGACAAGGTCACATTCTTTTTCGTGTTTGCCCAATTAGCACATTATACACAATTTTAACACAGTCATTTGTTTGTAAGGTCAGCAACCTTTGTTTACTAAGAAATTGCAGGTTTTGTTTCAGAGTCTTCCTAAGACTCTCCAGCATTGTAGCAAGGTTTAATTTTCTTTTAAAGTTCTATTTAAAGCATTTTCATTTCACATCAAGAGTATTACTTTAGGGTTCAGATAGAAAGCATGCTAAAGAACAGTGGAGTCCTTATGATATTAGGATTTATGCAAGATAAAGCACGTTGTTGCCATGGGGACCAATAAATATTCCCAAACGGAGACTTTAGTTCCCACTGCCAAGACATGGGTGGGAGAAGGTGGTTCCCACAGACTGTTTTCCCTAGACTAAAAATATAGTATGATTTCTATTAAAGGGCAATTAAATAAATTCTCAGTGATTTGGCCTAAAGAAAGCATACCCTATTATTTTCAGAACAATTAAGTAGTGAGCCCACTTCACAATACTATAAGATTATATTTATATGCAATATTAATTATGCTCATGCTCTGTCATGTCAAAGATGCTGTTGCAGTTGCAGCTTATTTTGATGCTGTTTCCCATGGTCTTAAAAATTGTTTATGGAGATTATTGCATCATGGACATAAATTATACCTTTTGAAGGGTTATAAAATAAAATTAGCACATTTTAGTTAACTCTTAGAAAACATTTCAGTTTGTGAAGTCCAAAAGTTTGTGATGGACCAGACTTCTATTAGCACTGTTTCAAGGTTTCTAGTCAAGAAATCCCAGATATTTCTGTCTTTCCTGTGTTTATTATTTATTCACCAAAAATACAATTAATACTTATATTACAGGACATTAGTTTGTTATGTAATTTGTAAAGTAATTATATGACATAATTTTGCCTGACATACTTCACAACCCTGTGAGATTGACAGACAAATCGAATAATGAGTTATTAGGCTGCTTTTGTAGGAGGAGTTTAAGAGTGAATGAGGCTAACACACTCTCCCAAAGCTACATAGATAATAAGCATATGATTGAGTACCAACTTCGCAATCAAAATATTCTCCCTACTCTACTGTGATAGTAGGAAAACAACATTCTTCTCATAAAATAATTTTTACATGCTTTGTCATTGTAGCATCAAGACTTTGGATTTAATTTCATGACAGTTAACACAAGTGAATCATCTAGGTAGCTGGAAGGTTCTATTGAACAAGATAGCAATTAAGTAAAACCATCTATGGACCAGAGTTGAATAACATCATGGTCCTATCAAGGGTATTTAATAAAACTTGACCTAGATCAAAAATAATAACTTTGAATTCATTGTAAATTCCGCCCCAAACAAGTTTTATCTTTGCACTTCGAAGCTAGGTCTCTTCTTTGAAACTCCATCAGTTCTTTCTCCTCCCTTTCCCAGTGACTTCATGTGGTTGAGAGCCTTAGTAGATTTACCATTACACAACTTAACCTACACTTTTGCATTAATTTGATGGATGTCAGCGTAGCAAAACCAGATTGTCACTCCTTATGCTGCCTTCCATTAAGGTATGTTCTTTATATATTATATTCATTGGGCTGTTTCCAATTTTAAATGAGTGTAATTCATCAAGCGATCAACACTACCTAAAGTGCATGCGTGTTGATTGACTCTGCTTCAGGAGTCCTGAAGTACATGTTTTCTCTGTTTTAAATGTCACTCTTTCTCATAGAGGCCTGTTGCTCCCTGGACATTCATTTACAAAGCTGTCACTAGACTTCATAAAGATCTCATTTTTCTCAGTCTTCATGGAGGAGTGACTTCTGTTTGTTCCCACTACCAAGATCCCTAGAGCTAAATATTTTATGTCTTCACTCAGCTTTCTCCTGTCTTACCCTTTACTCCATAAGCCACCCTATAACCCACTACAATTTTTACTTCTGCTTACAGTTGGCTTCTCATGCTTGTAACCCAAGAATCCTGCTTGCTCTAAAAGACCAAAAAGTAAATGTTTTAATTAACACTATTTCCCAATACTTTAATCAAACATGTTGGTCCTCAAGCACCTGAACACTTGTCATAAAGCACTGTTTATTATAGAACTATTTTATTATGTTTCCTCAAATTACTATTATTCCTTTCCCAGGATGCCATACTTTTTATGGCCCTAATTTTTTTATGGTCTCTGTTTACCACCTCCCTTTTTTCAGTCAAATGGATCTTTCCTTCTCTGTCTCTGTCTCTCTCTGTCTCTGTCTCTCTCCATATATCTAATCTAAATCGGTATCAGTCATACTCAGACCACATCAGACTCACTTACATTTGGGAATTTCTTGTTTTAATAACGCATCACACACTGTCAGACTCATTTAGGAGTTGGAGAAAGAGAGAACTCATTGCCTGGGTAATTTCTCTAGATCAAAAACCAAATTCATTTAGCTTTTTTCCAGGGAGGAATTTGTTTGCTCTGCTAATTGAACTACCAAATCCCATCAGTACTGTCCTTTCTCTTCAGTGAGGGAGGTAAGAAATCCCTTCTGATGTGGCAGATGAACTTCTTTCCCTCTTGCGTGTCCTTTTTAATGTGAGCCTTGAAATGATACACTCTACTGGGCGAAGAGGTGTATCAACATGAAAAATATATTTCCGATAAGTTCATTTATTCTTTTCTAAGGTTTAAACCTTCTCCCTTCAAACGAATAGGAAGAGAGCCCTTCCTATCTCCAGAAATTGCAGGTAGTGGGATTGGTGAGCAAGAAGTAAGAACGGTGACTCGTACAGCTGTTGTCCAAGGGCAAAATGTTAGTTCATCATCTCTCCCACATTTGTCCATATACAGTAAACACATCCATGCTTGCCTCCATGTCTACGTACAGTTCAGCACCCCCCACCAAAACTCTACAAGCACAGTCTTCTCTATCCTCTATCAGTTACTTATATTTATCCTTTATCTCCTTCTGAGCATGCTTTAAAGAGAGATGATGAGAAATTAAGGGGAAATATGTTGAAAACGTCTTACTTGCTCTAGGCAGCCTATTTATTTTCACTTACACAATCACTCAGGTTTGAAAACCATTTGTCAAACTGGTTTCTGGGACTCCTGCCTAAAATCCTTCCTATCTCCTCCTTACCTGGCATCCAATAGGGGCCTTCCAAAGCCTGGATGTACTCTTATCTCTCTGCTGATTTAAATATTTCAGCAGGCTAAGAGCTTGGTGGTGGTTTTCTTTTGAGCTCGCCTCCTATCCCTGTCTCCCAAGGAATGTCTACTCTGTTAATATCTAGCTGCCTCTGTCCTCAAGCCCTCCACAGCTTTCTACTTATGTTTTTCTTAATTTTTTCTCTACCTAGTTAATTCTCATCCTTTAGGCAAAGTTTTTGAAAAGAACCTTACTCACCTCTTAATGATAAAGGCACTTTTTTTCTGTGACTCTGAAGCACCTTTGGAGGCTGTCTTAGCACCTGTCATGCAGGATGGTGTTTGCTGGGTCATGGCTCTCTCTCCCACTAGACATGGAACTCTATGAGGGAAGATTGTACCATATTGGCTTTATATCCTCCAGCACTTAAAAGTGGGCATGGGGTATAGAAAGAGATTAAATGTGCTTTTAGGACCAGAAGGAAATGATGAGTCAATAAACCAAGTAGATAGATGATGTAAAGAAATAGCTGGGATTTGCCCAGAAGGCAGACTTTTAAATCTTATGAGAAATTCCTCATGGGTGAATATTTCCTTTTGCAATTGCACCCCCAATCTTTCCATTCTGCCGACCTGTACTGTACAGGTACTGCCTGCGGATCTAAGACTCTCCTCAGGACTCCCGGTGAGGTTCATTTCTCTTTGTCATAAATACCTGTTAAATGTCACTCACTCTTACCTAACCAATCTCCCTCACTTTCCTAAGCCAATTAGTTTAAAATTTCCATTTCTTCTAATATGTTTTTCCCAATTAATTCAAAAAGAAAGTAAGTGTCCATTAGGACTCCTACACTTATGTTCTAAATATACAACTTGCGAATGATTTGTTTTGCCTCAGCGAGGGGCACCTTCCCTGCTCCGTGAGGTTACCTTACACAGAAGAAAGACTGGAAGTTGATGAGTCAGAGACCTGGGTGTGGATTTGGCCTGTCTACTTTCTATCTGTGCCACATAGTATGTGTTACCACCCTTAGTAAGCATCAGACTCTTTTACAGACAGTTGCAGATTACAGTATCTTCCAGATGTGGCTTTTATAGGAGGAGCAGGTGATATCTGTAATGTTTCTAATCTCTGGCTAACACTCTGGAAGAGTAGATCGGTGGTAATTACATGGACTCTACCAGTGGTGGTGTGAAGACTCTTTGGATTGACACTGGATATATTGCCTAGATCACAGAGTTCTCAATATTGTAAATACAATTAAATAGAGTATATGAGGTAAGAATCTCTGAATTTTAGTGGTAAAGGCTACATTATGACATTTAACATGGCATAAATTGATGTAACTATTGAGATCATTTAATTTGTTTGATTGGAAGTTGCTTACTATTGGCCTTCAAATACAGATATGGGTATAAACATGAAAGATAGCAGAAAATTCAGGCCTGGCTTCATCGTTTGTGTAAGTGTTCACTTTCTCTTTCCTTGCCATTATTTCCATGGTTCTGCACTCCCCTGAGTACTCTAGATCTTTATTCTTGCTCATATTTGGCGAACATCCTCATTCAGTGGACTCGCTTTTAGGGTCTACTGAAATCAAGCCCTATGGTTTTCTTGAAGAGTTTTGTAGACTACTTTTTCTCTAAGTAGACTCATTTGCCTCCCAGAGACATTCTTTCTTTTTTATACCCTTGTCAGTGCCTGGAGATTGACCCCAAGAACAGAATCACCTAGATTTGCTTGCCCCTTGGCTTAAATGGCCTCCGGGGGTGAGAGTTACTGGGAAGATATTGAAGGTGAAAGAAGAGGTAGCTTGGTGTTAGAACCCACGCATTCCCCCCTCATCCTGCCTCTGGCCATGGTCCTGGCAATGGCTGTCTTGCTTAGGGCCACCACTTCCACAGCCACAGCTCCATCTCTCACTGTTCATCGTCCTCAGTGCTTGCCCGTCTCTCTCTATGTGTAGGAACGATTGAGGTTCCTTGTTATTAGAATTCCTGGGAGCCTCTCATATTCTTGTTCGTTCTTGAACTAACGTCAGCTATAAAATTTTGCTTCTTTAAAGCCTTTTAATTTAAACCTTTTCTGTTAAGATCTGTCTGATTTAATTTTAACATGATCCTCATTGCGAACAAAAAGGACAGTTCCTTGCCAGAATTTGGCACAAATGGCTCAAAATAGACAAGGGTGTAACTTTACTTATTAAGTGATGAAATTGATATCCATAGAGGTTTAAATTATATAAGATCACAATGTTGATCGATTCATGATCAATTCACTCACATATTTATGGAAAGAATCAGCCAGGTAGTCAAAATTTTCTTCTCTCATCTTTCCTTTTTTCTTTCTTTCTTTCTTTCTTTCTTTCTTTCTTTCTTTCTTTCTTTCTTTCTTTCTTTCTCCCTTCCTTCCTTCCTTCCTTCCTTCCTTCCTTCCTTCCTTCCTTCCTTCCTTTCTTTCTTTCTCTTCCTGTGTTCTAGTGAGTGCAGCCCTGTCCAGTCACCCTCTGGCTTCTCCCAGAATGCTGACCACAGCCTCCCATAAGGTATTATACCATCCATCCTTGCTACCACCTAATCCATTCTCTACATTTGGTTCTAAAAAATCTTTTAAAGTATAAATCTGAGCAAATTCTCTGCTTAAAGCTATTTAGTAACTTCAAATTTTCTTCAGGATTAAAAAAAATATGGCCAACAAGCCCACCTTCACCAACTTTATCTATTCACCTTTTCCCTCTTTTGTGTTAACCTATGTATTCTGCTTTTAGTTCTTTAAAAACTTTGTGTTCCTCCCACCAGAATACCTTTTACATATTCTGTTGTCTGTTTTTAAAGTTCCTTTGAACACCCTTCCATTTATCAGTTGAAGTATTAGCTTAAAATTCACTTCCTTCAAGTAGCTACTCATGAAAACCTGCTTCCTCAACTGGTCTATAATCTTCCCTGTCTATGTGCTCATGACACCCTACAGTGATTAGAGCATTTATCTCGGTTTGAATCAAATTTGATATGCTTGATGTTTCTGCATTTTCACTTCTTGAGAACTCGTATGATTGCCTTCTCCTCATACTTATCCTCAGATCCAGTGTGGTATTTATGGTCAGAACTCAATAAAAAAATGAACAAATCAGTGAATTTAGAACAGCATCAGACTCTGAGAAGGCACTGCACATTAGAAGATTGTGCAAATAATTTGAAGTGATGAAAACTGAGGCTGCAGAGGACCACTGAAGCCAATTTTTTTTTGGTATTAGGAATCAAACTCAGGACCTTGTGCTTGCCAGGCAAGTGTTTATGCCACTGAGCTATATCCCTGGTGAGGCCAAATTTTGAAAAGGCCATAAGTACATAATAGGAAATCTAGATTTTTCCCAAGTATTATAAGCATGCATTATTATTATTACCATTGTTATTATTACTATTTTTAAA